CTTGCCCTGATAGGCTCTGTCCTACCTTGATGGACACTGCCTTCCCCTGATAGGCCCCACCTTGCCCTGATAGGCTCTGTCCTACCTTGATGGACACTGCCTTTCTCGATAGATCTGGTCTTCCCTTGATGGGCCCTGCTTTACCCCGATAGGCCCTGCATTCCCCTGATAGCCACCGTCCTTAGCTTGACGCACCCGCTTTTCCCCAATAGGCTCCTCTTTCCCCTGAAAGACCCTGTCTTACTTTGATGGGCCCTACCTCACCCCAATAAGCCCCACCCCGCCTTTCTCCAATAGGCCCCACCTGTCACTGATAGCCCCATCTTAACTTGATGGGCCCCACCTTCCTCCGATAGGCCCGGCCTTCCCCTGATAGACCCTGTCTTACCTTGATGGACCCTGCCTTACCCGAATGGACCCCACATTTTCCCGATAGACCCCGCCTTTCTCCAATAGGCCCCACCTCTTTCTGATAACCCCTGCCTTCCCCTGATCTGCCTGGGATGCGTGTGTTTGAGTGTGTGTGTTTGGGGGGCAGTGTGTGTGTTTGTGTGTTGAAGTGTGTGTGTGTGTGTGTGTGTGTTTGGGGTCATAACTGGAGTATGATTATGGTTGTTCTGCACTCTTTCTCTCAGTGGCAGTGTTCCAGCATGCCTCACTAGCTCAGCTCTTGATTATTCCACTGCTAGCTCTGGAAATCCCTCAGGACAGAAAGTCATGTATGATTATTCTGGACACCAGCTGAATATATCTCCATGTGAACCTCTGAGTAGTGTGTGATTTGTCGCTATATATATATATATATGATGTATGATGTTGATAAAGGCAACAGCAGTAACACACTCTTACACTGACACTGACACACTCTACTTCAGACTCTCTAAGCACTGCATGCTCATATGTGAAAGTAAGAATAAGACCAGGCTATTAACAGCGGGACAGAAATAAAGGTGTTACTTTCATCCCCTATTTCATACTCATCATTAAATACTCTATATTAGATGTTTGAAGTGTGGGTTAATCATCATCCAGAGTGTTCCCCTGCCCTGGGCACCTGCTGACCCTGCAGACGACAAGCTTTTAGAGGAAAACTGGACACTGAGGGATGTCTGTCAGACAGATTCTCTTCAGTTTAGTGTTTTCATTCTGCATGTTGCAGTAATAGACTGACAATATGACCATTATAGAGCTGCTTCTGCAGTGTACAGCTTCATGTCTGCACCTTAAACAAGAATCCCCTGTCCCCAATGCATTATTAATCTGGAACAGAGCGGCGGAAACCTGAGCGCCGCACAGGAGACTGTCCCATTGCCCTGCTGTCAGTGTGCTAATAACACCGGCTTCATTAATACAGCTCCTGTCCTTCCCTGAACATCACAACAGCAGGCCTTTAGTAGAGTTCATGACAACAGTTACTGACTTACCTATTTTGAGATTTGTACAATAAGGTCTGCATGTCAGAAGCTCAGTAAAGCACAGCCCATGTGTTGAGTTCTTCAGTGTTCAGGCGTGTGCTGAAGACACTGATCTGGGGCCTGTGGTGCAGTGAGTTATGTGGCTGTGAAGAGCAGGAGTCATTCTCTACAGTCACAACACATCACATTCAGCTTGTGTATTGAGTCGTCTCCACCAGACGCTGTCTTATCCAGGCTCCAGGTTTCTGGAGATCATCTTGCAATTCTTGGTGTGCTCCACAGGTGAGTGGGCTTAACAAACCACCTGTAGGACACACTCTCTCCTCTCCCTATACATGAAGAGTTATTTAGTAACAGACTCGCAGTGCTTCTATACTTCTACTCTAATGATCTGAAGTGCTTCTGCTATCTTCACCTGTAAGTCGCTGTAGAAGCTTCTGCTAAATGTGAATGTGAGTGCAGGAGTATTAGCGTCCCTGCTGTTGTCTTGTGAGGGCACTAACAGCACTGATCACTCCTTTTACTACCAGTTCTGAAACCTTGTCCGACTCTTACTGTGGTCAGCTTAATCTTGCCCAGAGTATTTAGAGGGATTGAGTTTGCGGGTGGTGTAGGCATGTGCAGTGTTCTTCATCTAAACACTGTATGCTCTGTTTCTGTCTGCTTTTCTTCTCCATGACCTAAATGCCCCATATTTACCCACTCTGCCCATACCCATGTGTCCTGGCCCTGACCTCCCCCCGACCCCTCCAGCACCTCCCAAAGGAAGACTCGGAGGACTCTGAGCTGGAGCACATCATGGGACGCCCCCCACCCCCAGAGGGACACAACAGACCCCATACCCCCGGGACCCCCACCCTGAGGCCTGCGGCAGCACCAAGGGGCCCCGGAGAGCATGAATCCAGAACCGGGGGTCAGCGGGGCCGTGTGGAATTTAGCCTGCCGTCCCCCATCAGCCCGTCCAGGCCTAAAAGCCCCTGGGGCCGCTATGACCCCTACGATGCCACTGAGGTAATGGGATAGAGTTCAGTCCCCACTGTATCGCTCCCAGTAACTCTCTCTACTTATTAACATCATTAATAACACCATATGGCATGCTGGAATTTACCATGGTATTCACCGGTAAGTCCCTTGTACAAGTGGTCACCCTGCAGTACCATAGTGCATATGAAAGTGCTGTGATCATGTGATCAGCACCAGCACAGTGCAGTGTTGCCCAGCTGATGGTATTCCCACATAATGGGGCTCTGCTGAAAGTGCAGTGGCTGGAGAATTAAATGACGCTGTGCTGGTTTACTTTCATAGCGTGCTGCAGCTGCCAAAGGGTTTCTTTCTCATCAGTCTTGTTTCCTAATGAACATTGATTCTGGAATGCATACCTGACAACCCAAGAGTATTACAAGTGAGCGAGCGAAGGCCGTGTGTTACGCCGGTCACTTGACGCAGAAGTATTAACCAGGCGTGAAGCTGCAGCTACACTTCACTTTTAACCCCGATGACTTCCATTCATACTGTGAATGCAGCAGACCCAAACGCAAGCAGGTTTCAATTTAGCGTGACATAAATGCGTGAGACCAATAGATGATCAGACATGATCCCTCTGTGCAGAGATGTCAGATATAGAGCTGTTGTTCTTCTCATCATTACGCAGGGTCATCCGGCCTGCTGTATTCGGTGTGCAGGACTGTCCACACGCCAAGCAACACTTCTAAGTGTCCTTCTCAGAAAGTGAAGTGTTGTTGGTGTGGGCAGTGTCAGTCAATACTTTAACATGTACATTCTACCTACAAGTGTGTGCATCACAGAATATCAGAGAAGACATGGTAAACCTTTGCCTTTGTGGGAATCCAGAAATTGTGTTATTTATTTTGGTTGGGTTTTGAGTTGTCACTGGAATGGGAAATGCTCCTGGACCTGGCATGCTTGATCAGACATCAGGAACAGGACTGCTGTGGTGGTCTCAGTATCACAGAAATACTGCCTCTTCACTTTTTGTTCTTGAGTGTGCTTTTCATGTGCCTTTCCTTTCCGGGAGGATGGATTTACACTTTAATGACATGTTTTTTAATGGATCCTGTTGGTGGTCTTTGTAAAAGATGATAATTAAAGACGTGAAGCTCTTTTTGGGTTTATGACACTCCACCCTACATCTTTCCTGCTTCACTACAAGCTGAAGCCCGGCATCTCTGCTCTGCCTCCCAGAGAGAAACTCAGGCCATATCTGTCACGATGACCAGGCAAACACACACTGAACACACGATGACCAGGCAAACACACACACACTGAACACATGATGACCAGGCAAACACACACACACTGAACACACGATGATCAGGCAAACACACACTGAACACACGATGGCCGGGCAAACACACACACACTGAACACACGATGACCAGGCAAACACACACACACTGAACACACGATGATCAGGCAAACACACACTGAACACATGATGACCAGGCAAACACACACACACTGAACACACGATGACCAGGCAAACACACACACACTGAACACACGATGACCAGGCAAACACACACACACTGAACACACGATGACCAGGCAAACACACACACACTGAACATGAACACATGATGATCAGGCAAACACACACACTGAACACATGATGACCAGGCAAACACACACACTGAACACATGATGACCAGGCAAACACACACACTGAACACATGATGACCAGGCAAACACACACACACTGAACACATGATGACCAGGCAAACACACACACACTGAACACACGATGACCAGGCAAACACACACACTGAACACATGATGACCAGGCAAACACACACACACTGAACACACGATGACCAGGCAAACACACACACACTGAACACACGATGACCAGGCAAACACACACACTGAACACATGATGACCAGGCAAACACACACACACTGAACACACGATGACCAGGCAAACACACACACACTGAACACATGATGATCAGGCAAACACACACACACTGAACACACGATGACCAGGCAAACACACACACTGAACACATGATGACCAGGCAAACACACACACACTGAACACACGATGAACAGGTAAACACACACACACTGAACACACGATGACCAGGCAAACACACACACTGAACACATGATGACCAGGCAAACACACACACTGAACACATGATGATCAGGCACACACACACACTGAACACACGATGACCAGGCAAACACACACACTGAACACATGATGACCAGGCAAACACACACACTGAACACATGATGATCAGGCAAACACACACACACTGAACACACGATGACCAGGCAAACACACACACTGAACACACGATGACCAGGCAAACACACACACTGAACACATGATGACCAGGCAAACACACACACTGAACACACGATGACCAGGCAAACACACACACTGAACACATGATGACCAGGCAAACACACACACTGAACACATGATGACCAGGCAAACACACACACACTGAACACACGATGACCAGGCAAACACACACACTGAACACATGATGACCAGGTAAACACACATGGAGGACTCGATGTAAGTCACACTGAGCTTTGCTTTGTTGTTGTTGGCAGGACCAGGATAAGGAGTATGTGGGATTCGCTACGTTGCCAAACCAGGTTCACCGTAAATCTGTGAAGAAGGGCTTTGACTTCACACTCATGGTGGCAGGTAATGCTTATTTACTAAAAAGAAAATTAACTCCAAACAAATCAACCGCTTCACATTACATCGTGTTTTTTAAAGTGTTAAATACAAACCGAATCAGAAAAGGTTGGGTCAGAACGCTAATAAAAAGGAAAGTAGGGATTTCTAAATTGACCTGGACTTGTATTTGACTGCAGACAATATGAACACACAATATTAGATGTTGTGTCTGGTGGACTTCAGTTCATGTGTGAATCTCCATCATTAAAGCATCAGGAAAGCTCTAGTCCTTTAGGAGCAGAGATGGGCCGAGGATCGCCAGTTTGACCACAAATACTACTTGAGAAGAAAATGAGAGAAAATTGAGAGGAAACGAGTGAAGTGTGTAAACTCAACGCTCATCAGAGGAAGACATGTGGAGATTTCACCTTCAACAGTGCAGAACAGCATTAAAGACTGAAGGAGTCTGGAGGAGTTTCTGTGCGTAAAGGACAAGAGCGCAAGCCTGAGCTGAACAACCGTGACCTCCGACCCCTCAGGGGGCGCTGCATCAAGAGTCCTCATTCATCTATAAGCCAGATCAGCACATGAGCTCAGCACTACTGCACTAAACCTGTGACAAGCAGCACAATACAGAGTCACATCCACAAACACCAGCCAACACTGCACTGTGCCAAGAGGAAGCCCTATGTTAACAGTGTCCAGAAGCGCTTCCCTGGGCTCTGAATGCATCTGGGATGGAGCGTCACACAGTGGAGACGTGTCCTGTGCTCAGATGAAGCAGTGTTTCAGGTGTTTCTGGGAGAAATGGACGCAGTGTGCTCCAGACCAAAGAAGAAGAGGATCATCCAGACTGACACCAGCAACACGTCCAGAAACCCGGCTCTGTCATGGTCTGGGGTTGTGTCGGTGGCCACCTGCAAGAATGGGACAGAATGACCCCTGAAACACCTTCCTCACTTGATGTCTTCAGTCCCTAAACGTCTTGAAGTGTTGTGAAAGGAACAGCAACACTACAGAGTGGTGAAGGCTTCACTGATCCAGCTTTATTCAAATCTATTGCATAAACCAAATCTGGAAGATGTGTTTATTTTGAAAAGCAATAGTCATCACGAGGAACACATTAATAATGTCTGTTGTGTTGTCTGCGGTCAAATAAACAATCAGAGTAAGTTTAGAAATCACTATACTTTCTTTATCTGTTTGCGTTTTCCACAAAGTCTCAACTCTTTCTGATTTGGGCTTGCACATTTCAGTAGTTCAGCACTTTCTCACTGTGTTCTTCATTGTTATTACACACAACTCTTTCTGAAATGTCTTTCTTATTTTAATTTGTATGTTTGGACCAAAGTCTGGGTCAGTTTCATGTCAACGGCTCATTTAGAAGTACCAGGAGAAATCTTGAAATGTTCACTGTTTATTTTACCCGCTGTACGGTGTCAGTAAAGAGACTCTGAGTGCTCTGTGCTTCTCTCTGCAGGAGAGTCAGGTTTAGGGAAGTCCACGCTGGTCAACAGTCTGTTCCTCACAGATCTCTACAAAGACCGCAAGCTGCTGAACGCTGAAGGCAAGTGTGTCCGCTGTGTGTGAGTGTGTGTGTGTATGTGTGTGTGTGCTTTTGTGTGTGTGTGTGTGCTTTTAGTGTTGTGAAATTGCCTTTACTGTGTGTTAAAGTGTTGTGTGTGTGTGTGTTGTGTAGAGCGGATCACACAGACGGTGGAGATCACCAAACATACGGTGGACATCGAGGAGAAGGGCGTCAAGCTCAAGCTCACGATCGTGGACACGCCCGGCTTCGGGGACGCCGTCAATAACACAGAATGGTAAAGAAGAGTTCTGATGCTGCCGACATGAGTTAACATGCTAATTATTTCCAAATATTGAATATATGGCCATACACACCCTCATTATGCAGAATTTTACAGCTTATTATCAATTAAATGGATGAGATATTCTCCTTGATTCACCCTCTCTCAGTTGTCATGAAGGATAGTATCAGCTATACACACCAAATCTGCTGCTCGTTCCAGACTATAAACACCTTTATTCTGCTGTAAAGTTGGTCAATTTAACATGCGAGTCTATGAGGATTTGCTCCATCTTGTAGCCGACCCCCAGTGGCCAGTCCAGGAACTGCAGTGTCAGTCATTCTGCATTAGCGTCATGCGGGAGAGCGGGGAGAGTGTTATTCATGGAGAAAATCATTTCATATGTCAGCCTTTTCTTTGTGGAGTGTGGTATGCTGTTTTCAGTCAAAATGGAAAACTGTTTCACGTTTAGTCTGCTCATTTAGATGATATTATCCTTTTGGGGACTGGAAATGCTTAATCTGGAAGATTGTTCCTGAAAACACCACAGTTATCATTTCCACAGAGCTCAACCTGCCTGAACACAGAGTACACCACATGGATACGAGTTTAACTTTGTTTCTGCCTACATCAGCGGTGTGTGTGTGTGTGTGTGTGTGTGTGTGTGTTTGCAGCTGGAAGTCAGTGGCAGACTACATCGACCAGCAGTTTGAGCAGTATTTCAGAGACGAGAGCGGGCTGAACCGGAAGAACATTCAGGATAACCGTGTGCACTGCTGCCTCTACTTCATCTCACCGTTCGGTCACGGGTACGACACGTGTGTGTGTGTGTGTGTGTGTGTGTGTTTGCCATCTGATCAGACTCTGGTGTTCAGCTGCAGTAACTCCAGCATCAGGAGAGTAAACCTCATTCAGACCAGTTCTACTGTAGTGTACTGTGCTGTAGTGTAGTGTGCTGTAGTGTACTGTGCTGTAGTGTAGTGTAGTGTGCTGTAAAGTGTACTGTAATGCTCAGGCTTTGCTGGAAGACCTAATCCAGCTCTCTCTGAAGTGCTGCTCACACATCTACCTGTCCAGCTCTTCTAATGTAACTCTGCCCTCTGCTGGTCACGTGTGCTCACTGCTGTCTGATCAAGTCAGCACATTTTTCTGCTTTTACCCAAATAAAACTGCAGTTGCTCTTTCAGCCGTGGCTAGGTAAACGAGAGCGCTGAACGCTGTAATAAGTCAGTGCTGTAGGGTATAGCCGTGTCTCCCCCTGACCAGCACACAAGTGAGTGATTGTATTCCTCTGTACAGAGCCGCTCACTGCTGCAGCAAAACACAAACTAGAAGAGCAAAGTCATGTTGTCAGCTCAGTGTAGTGTGTTCTCAGTCGTGTGTGTGTGTGTGTGTGTGTGTGTGTGTGTGTGTGTCAGTCTCAGACCTCTGGATGTGGAGTTCATGAAGGCTCTTCATGAGAAGGTGAACATCGTCCCGGTGCTGGCCAAAGCAGACACACTCACACCGCTAGAGGTCAAGAAGAAGAAGATTAAGGCAAGTGTGTGTGTGTGTGTGTGTGTGTGTGTGTGTGTGTGTTTATATCTGTGCATCTAACTCTGTGTGCTGTGCAGATTCGAGAGGAGATCGAGCAGTACGGCATCAAGATCTACCAGTTTCCAGACTGTGATTCAGACGAGGACGAGGAGTTCAAGCAGCAGGACCAGGAGCTGAAGGTGCAGATGTACACCCGCTTCAGGATCAGTGCCGAATCACACACTTGTACACTGTGTAGTGTTTGAGTTTTCCCAAGTGGAACACTGGCATTTTTTGACTTAACAGAAATTCAGTCTGTTAACCTGTTGACCTGTAGCGGTTGCCAGATTAGTAAACTAATAGCCGGAAGAGCAAAGCAAATGCTGCCCTATAGCATCTACCATGAGTCGCCATCAGGAGGCAGCATGATCACGAGTGGAGAACAGCCTGCCCAATCCAGAATAAACAATGAATACAACCTAAGTGTCTGATAGCCCCTCCCCATTCACATGTAGCTCCTCCTCTTCATCACAAGCTCTTCACCATTAGCCCCCCATTCATCAGTAGCTCCCCCCCTTTATTATCAACTCCTCCCCTTTATCATTAACCCTCCCCTTCATCAACCTGCTCCTCTTCTTTTTCATAAACACCACTCTTTCGTCAAAATAACCCCTCCCTTCATCCCCAGCTCCTCCTCCTCATCATTAGCACTACCCCTTCATCATTAACTACTTCATTAGCCCCTCCCTTCTTCATTAATCACTTCATTATTCAATCCCCTTCATCATCACCCCTTCCTTCATCATCATCAGCTCCTCCCCTTCATCATTAACCCCTCCCTTCATCATCAGCTCCTCCCCTTCATAATCAGCTCCTCTCATTCATCAGTAGCTCTACCTGTGTGTAGTGTTTAGTGTGTGTGTGTGTGTGTGTGTAGTGTTTAGTGTGTGTGTGTGTGTGTGTGTATATGTGTAGTGTTTTGATGTGTGTGTGTGTGTGTGTGTGTGTGTGTATATATGTTGTGTGTGTGTGTGTGTGTGTGTGTGTGTGTTTAGTGTGTGTGTGTGTGTGTGTGTGTGTGTGTG